TAGTGCAAGTAGGACTCAAAATTCAGTGGCTCATTCTCTGACAAGTTCTAATCACAAGGATAAACAAACCAAGACAGTAAAAGAAAGTAGATGCTCACAAAAACATAAATATTGTTGAACTCAAAGGTACAGCTGTAAATCAAAAGGAAATACCTCTTCCACCATTGGTTCACTTTCCAAGATGGCATGCACATTTGCTGCTTCAAGGGCTAGAAGCTCACGCTTCAACCTTTCAGAAAATGCCTCAGCTTCCCCAATACCCATGACATAACTGCAATACCATATTATGCCAAAAAACACCAGATCAGAACAAAAGTGATCTCAACAATTCATAGTCAAAAGAATGCTGCAAGAAAGGCAGTATATTGGTTTGGTTTGGTTTCCATTTCAGTGATACAGCAGATGAGAATCAAAATGAGTCCATATTTGCAGTAAACATCAGCAAATAATAGGACAAACTACAACGACAGACCATGAATCAACACACACCTTAAAAATCTGCAACCCTATATTCAACAAAATCCAAAAGTGTTACTCCTGTTTTAAAAATATTTTTTTTAGCTTTGCAGCAAAATTGTAACCCAAAGAGGGCATACGGGAATTAAGAACATTGCAAGGGAAAGAAAGTATGTAAGTACTTCACATCTCCCATGGATCAAGGACCTCAACCAGAACTTAAACGATTCAGTGACTTTATAAAATTTTAATTTGATTTGACTTCCTTTCCTTTGCAATGTTCTTGACTCAAAGGTGTCAGTGACTCAAGTTTTGCATCTCAGCATTGAAGAATTTCAAGGACCTCAAGATGTACTTAATTTCATATGTTAGTTTATATTTACATGGAATGTCATCCTTGTTAAAGTACATCCCAACCTGTTTTAACAGCCTCACAAATAAAAGGAGAAAAGTACATACGTGCCCAGGAGAGCCTCCATATCCTCTTCCTCAGCTTGGGAGACAAGTTCTCTTTCAACAGTCACTTTCAGCTCACTTTCTGTCACTCTAGCTGCAACAGGCCCATCTTGCAGATTTCTTTGGGTACTAACTGAGGGTGTATTCTCCTGTATTGCACATCATAAGGAAGTTATATCAAAAAGTCATATTGATCCCATCACACCGAGGACAAGGTTTGCTATATTACCAAATCATCACATTTAATTGACATCCCAATTTACAACCATACATATTTTATTATCAAGAACAGAACAAGAGACAAATCAAGCAACATACCAAATCAACCACTAACACAATAAGGAAACAAAACCAGGGTATTATTTCAAACATAACCAGAACAAGAAATGTAATTGAGAAGAGGCCTTCTTTTTTCAAAAAAATGATAGCAAACTCTTGAGTTTTAGAGTTTCAACAGTTACCACAGTGGAAGACAGTTAATATATATTTTCAGCATTAACAATAGCAATAACCAAAGTTGTCTAAGAAGCCAAAAGATTCTGACTACATATAGGAATTTTCTATGATAAAACAATTTGGTAGTAGTGATTTAACAGCCATGAAAATGGAGAAAAAGTAACAGAATAGTACAAACATGCTGAATTGAACTATCTAAAGTCCCAAGCTAAAAGTGTATCAAATCACTAAATGCACCTTAGCCCAAAGAGCCATCTCCACAACATCTATACCAACAACTTTTGGAAGACGACCAAGTACATCTTTGCATATAGTTAAAATGCAAAATAAAAGGCGGTTCCTACAAGAAACAAAAAAGAAAAATCCTGTGTTAACAATTACTATAGGGTATCTCTAATTGGGTACAATTTCCCTGCTAAGAAAGAAAAGAAAAATCTTATTATGTACCTGTCATCAATATTCCGCATAGTCCACTGAGGTGGGGCAACACTCTGGCTTCTGAGGTTATCAAAACCCTGTAATACACTTAGTCAGGAACCAGCAGAAACAAAATAATAATAATAATAATAATAATAATAATAATAATAACTTGAACTTTTGTTAAAGTTCTTCTTAATTCAAATATTCCCCAAGGAATGATTGAATAAATGAAAGATGGACCATAAAGCTTTTTTCTGTTTTTGAAACGTAAATACTAGATCGAGCATTACCAGGGTAAATGTGCATCCACTGGGGTCATTAGTTATAACCTCCACTTTCGAGAGATGCTTAAGCTTATACAGCTTTGCAGGCTGCGTGTGAAAGAAATTTCCAACAATACATAAGCCAAAGCATATGATCTAAAAGCATGTAGAAGAAAATCATAAGGCTTATATGTGTTCTAGAAACTATTCACTTATAAGAAGTCAATTTTCTGGAGATAGGAAGCTATTATGTCATAATCCACTATATTTTCTATTCCAGGATGTTTGAATGTTCTTATGTTTATTCTTTCATATTAACATGTGGTAAAATATTTGTGGTAGCATCAGTAATAGCAGTTAAGAAGTATTCAGAAAAATTAGTTCGTGACCACATACACACATCCAAATCTCCAAATTACTAGTGAAATACAGAAGAAATAAAGAAGTCCATAAGATGACTGACACAGACACTGATTGGCAAGTTGGTTAAAACAGATTAAAATGTGCATGAGGCTTGCTTAAATTGAAACAGAGAGAAAGAGGCAGAAGGAAAAAACCAACCAATTTAACATAATAGTCTAGCTAGAATCATCAAGCTTGGACAAGACACCTACAGCTTGAAAATCTAACACCAAAACCCATCTTAGATATCTGAAAACCATAAAATTTAGGCTTAGCCAAGGCCTACACTCATGACCTAGTCCAACGAATGATCACGGTAAGGGTCCAACCCAGCAGTTGAGTTTTAGTAAAGCTACTTGTAGGCTACCAAAGTTCTTATACTAAAGAACTAGATTTTCTGAATATTCTTTTGACATGATTAAAACTTAAAGAAAAATTACCTCAAGGACTCCTCCTGTGGAATACTTTAAGACTCGAAGAAAAGCTTTAGTTCGCTGACCCTTAGCTTTTGCTGCACATGTAACATGTTATCAATGATGATGCCATACAAATTATTATCATTCAATGGTCTTATAAACAACACAAAGTATCATGAGTTTAGGAAACAAGGAAAACTATGACGAGTACAGGATCACTAGCTTTCAATCCTATATTACAGTGATCACTACATAACTGATGACCCTCCAAATTCCGCTTCTTCTTCTTTAAATTTACTCTCAGACCAAACTTCACGAAACTTGCATAGCTCAAGTTCAAAACTAGCACTCCCATCAAAGCCTACGGTATTTGGGAAGTAGGAAACTCCTAGCTTTTGGCCAAGTCAATGACCTTGAGGAATCAAAACTCCAGAGCTTGTGGGAACGAACCACAGGGTTGGCCACTTGGCTAAACCCCCGGGTTATTTGATAATCTGTTCTTGCACTCAATCAAATGTATCCTATTAACAAAAGCAGCTTTTTACCTCGGTGATGAACATGTCACAGCCAGCATATCCCAACCAACAGCGCAAAAAGGCTAGTAAACAGAAGTAGACCTACTTTCTCACTTATCTCAAAATTTTGAAAAAAAAAAAAAAAAAAAAGAAACTCTAGTAAAAAATCACTGACCGCACGGTACTTCTAAATGAATCTAGAAACAACTAAGCATGCGATACAATCTTGCTAAACTGAACTTTGATCAAATTTGAATATATATCTCTGTAACCGTTGTTTCAAGTTTCCGGAATTCGAGCCAACAAACAGTAGAAGTCCACATCACCAGCAATACATTAACTGGCTCTACAGTCTACACATTTCAAAAATTTCATAACAATAAAACAAAATATCGTTTTCAGTTAATACTAAATAACAATAAAGCAACAAACACAAGATGTCTAAGAATAACAAAATCAGAAACAAAATAAGAATTATGAGGAGGATCGCAAGCGTTAAATGACACTGAGAAATGGAGATTGAAAGAAAAGAAATGAAACGTACTAGAGAGAGCAAGAACCCTAGGTTTAGCCATGTGGCGGCCTAATTTGCCAGATTTTCCCCAGATCCCTCGACTTTTGGCCACACGAATGGACATAAGGATCTTCTGTTTCGTTCCCTCAATGGCAGCCTCGCAAGCTCGACGTAGCTCCGCATCGTCGGCGCTAGATTTCGCCATTCCTAGCGGTTATGGAGTAGGAGAGATTCAAGCGATGTAACTTCGCCAGGTGAAAAAGCGAGAGAGGAGATATCGGCGAAGCTTGCACGGAGCGTGAAATATTGAATAATATTAAATCTGTACATTCAACAGTTAACAGTTGCCTTTCACCTTATAAATAGAAAATAAAATAGTGCGACGAGTGTCATACGGATTTAGCTACGTTCCGACTCACCCCGGTAAACAGGTTAAATATTTGAGGGAAAAAGTTAACTTACACTTTTGAGTTTTTTATTTGTATATTGATTGGCAAAATCCTAATTTATTTTTTTTATTACGAAGGTGTCTTTGTTAGTTTAAGTATGTTTTAACTAATTTTCTCAATTATTTTTTAAGATCCTGAAATGATCGATCCGGTGAGAGTTCTAATAATCACCTTATTAGTGCCAAGAGAAACTCAAATTCAAGAGTTTATAAAATTTTATTTTATTTTTTTAATATCAGATCAGCTAGAAGTGATTAAAATCCTAATATTCATTCTCAAATTTCGACTAGTTTGGTGAGTATCTCTTTTAGCAAAATCAATTATCACTTTCAAATCCTGATTACAAAGTTGTAACAGTTGAAACTTTAACTATTATTATGTGGTACTAAATTATAAGATACATATTATCTAAATACATATTTCACGGAAAATTAACAAAGATGCGGTTACAAGAATTTTATTGAATATTGATACAACCGACAATGATAGTACCAAAATTCCACGTTTAATTCGTGTACCACAATTTTTGAGATATACATTTATATATTTTAAGACAATTACGGTAATCATAAGTTATTTATTAGTAGTCTAATCATATTGATCTGTCAATAAAAGTGGCAGGCAGTTATAGAAATACTCTTTCTGTCACGAAAAAGGGGAAAAAAAAGAGAGGAAAGAATTACTATATATAACAATAAAAAAAAAGGAATATTAAGGAGCAACAAAATCAAGAATAAGGATCTGGTTCATCCGGGAATTGTATGAGATGGATTTGGAAACTTAAGCTGAAGCTTTACATGATAAGTTTGGCGATCAGTCAGCGCAAATACAGCATGTCCACGAGCGAAAGCGAAAGAACCTGTACCTCCAACCACAGTTAGTTTCTCCGTATCTTTGTGATTAACTTGGTTGGCCTGAACACTGAGGCTACCAGAATACTGAGGTGTTTCAAATGTGAGATAAATGACGTTGAATGCAGAATGTGCAAAATGTTCAATTGGGACAATGAAACCTTGAGCTTTTCCAACTGCCCGAGAAGTGTTCTCAGGTCCCTCTGTGAGTGTATGATGAAAAATAAATGCTCCACCATCAGATTTTGAGACTGGTCGTGTTTTAGAGCTCGCAATATATGGTGGTTGAATATATAAGGATAGAGCCAACCGGGGACTGGAGTGGTTCTTTGATTGTCTCTTGTGAACTACTGGGGATACCAAAGCCAAGAGAATTACTGCCAAAGTGGCTAACGCTATTGCAGTGCAGAATATGATTCTGGGCAGCATGATCGAAAGCCTGGGATTTGCTATCTTCTCTCAATATCACTTTAATACACTTCTGTTGAACAAACCTGCTCCTCCAAGTGAGTGTTTTCAGTCGCCTAATTCACTCCCTTTTTTTTTTTCTTTTTTTTTTTTTTTTGTAATTCGGACCTAATCCACATTCTATGTAATTTAGTATAGTTTAACTTTGATGAGGGGTCTTCATAGTCCCATAATTACCAAACTGTTTGGGCAAATTAATTTTCGTTTAAGAGATTATAATAGCTAGATACTCAACCAACTCGATTGTTGATTGAAACCGAACTGTAATCTGGATGATATAGCATACTACAACCTCTCGATCGTTCTCAGTATTTAAAATTATGTATATTAGAAGCGGTTATTTAACAACATAAATATAATGTCTAATTAATATATAGTATTTTCAAAAAATAAAATAATTTTTTTTTTTTTTTTACCTACTCCAATTTTTACTTCTAAAATTACTAATTTCATCACCTTTAACATTAATTTTGAAATAATAATCATCCTTAATTGATTCATTGTAATCCAGTTATTTTTAATATTATACACTTTCCAACTCCAAATACCTGTGGGATGTATTTTATCGATATTTAAAATTATACCAGATAGGTTCTTATTAATAATCCTAAAGTGAAGAATGAGGCAAACGTATCATGAAATAAACCAGTCTTACCAGGAAAAATAACAAAAAATTCTATTGTTTCAGGAAAAAAAAGAAGTAATTCTCTCAAATAACTTATTCCAAATGAATAGGACTTTAAAGACAAAAATTAATACACGATCTATTTAATAAACTTTTAACCTAAAGAATAAGAAACAATCCACAGAAGAAAATTATCGAGGCCAGTGCCCCTGCCAATAAATAACATTCAGAAAACTCTACATCTACAAAAGAATTAAGAATAATTACAGCATACAATCCCCCCCTCGCCCCCTCTATTACAACAATTGGAGAAATGAAATTTGTTACCGTTAGAACATGGACATTCTACTGTTCAAGGGCTTCGCCTTGCGTATGTGACCCATAGCATTAACAAGATCCTTGCGGATGCAAACAGGGAACATGTTGATGTTCTCAGACACATTCAACCGCCATAGAACATACGGGAAGCTCAGCTGATCTCGAGAAGTGAATCGAACCACCTCATTGAACCAGATGCACATAAACAGATTAGTTAATGGTGTATGCTCCCGCACAATGACTGATGCTTCAGATAGAGCTGCACATTCCAACAAATGACTACAAACATTAAAACAACTAAAAGAAATTCCTACAGCAAAATAAGGTCCATGTAAGAGGTCCCATCATTACCAAGCACTTAGCCATTACATTTGCTTTCTCTAGATTCCATGTACTATATAGTCTGGATATTAGTCTTTCCTTCCTATCTATGACTTACTCTATAAGTTGAGAGAAGAAATCACCTAATTCAGGTGTTAAAGCGGGTAGTAAACCCAAGCCTGGGCTCAAAAGTACTCCCATCATACTTTTTGTTCAGGAACCTTGCCCTTATGGAAGACTGAGGTTTACACTCATAAGAGGAAACCAAAAGCAGAATAAGCCTTAAAAACTTGGGCACGTAATGAATAAACATTGCCTTTCTTTGTATTGGATGAGACATATCTAAACTCCCCAAATCCAGAAAAAGCAGAAGGCGAAAGAAGGTAGCTCAATGCAGTAAGATTAATATAAATTATGGCAAACCCAAAGAAATATGTGGCAAGAAAAGCTCTTTTATGCAAATGCATCTACTTAGTTATATTGATATTTGTATTAGAGTAAATAATACCTTTCTTTCCATTAAATCTCTTGTCCTCAGGGAGGCCATCATGGCGGTATTGAGCCAACTGCACTTCAACTTCTTCTGGGGTGGCTTTGTGTTTACTAACAACTGCCTTAGCCTCATCATACACACTACTGCGAGCTCCATGCTGTGAAATCGCAAGCACAGAATTTGAACGCCAAAGAAGGGCTTCCAACACCCCCAAAGGATCCTTCCTAAACTGAGACTTTGAGTCAACCCAAATGGAGTACTTTGAATGAGGGAAGAGACGATGCGCCAACATCTGATGACAGCAGACATGGATTTAGATCATTACAAATTCGGTCACATGCACTCACAAATGTTTACATATTCAGCAAAAAAGTGGAATACTCATATAAGTAGTTGACCAAGAATCCATGAACGAAATGATGGCTGATAATCACAAGAGCATTACACAAAGGAAAAAAATTAGGGAAGAAACACATGCTAATGTAAATCATGGATACCTTTGGAATTTTACCATTCAACCTCTGGTCTGTAAATGGAAGTTCCCCCACAACCACAATGCGCCATTTCCCAATAAATCTATCATCACCAATTTTATGCCCCTCTGATTCCTGAGCTGCCAGGGTAATTTCATCCCAAAATGCAACATAGCATACCTGAATCCACATAGTATTATGCATCTAACCTTTTTAAATGAGTAAGTAATAAGTCTTGTACATTAAACATGCTAACCTTCTTAAGTGATGCTTCTGACATTCCAATTGGTTGATGAAGCGCATCTCCTCCCCCAAATGCACAAGTAGACACCACAACTTTGCAATTTTGCATGTACCTTTTGTCCTCATCTGAGACTCTAAATCCTCCATTTTCACTGTAAAAACCACAATGTACCTCAGCAGTTTTATCCACCTGCATGCAACAAATTTCTAGAGGATATTAGATAAAAATTTGAAAAAGCACATAAAGAAGAATATAATTCATAAAATTAATCTCTAAGCTTGAAAACTTTATTTCACAATCGAACATTAACATGATCACAGCCATCTATTATCTTAAACATAGTTAAATATGTCAATATGGCTCTCATAACCTTGAAACTTTTCTCTCTCTCATCAAAAGTCTGGTTTCCTGTAAATAAATTAAATCTTGTGCCTTTGCTTTGCTGTCGGGATAAGGTATTGTTTCCTCCTACATCAAGTATATCATTCTCTGAAAAGTAAACCACTTTATTTACATGACTTCTGGATTTTTCATTCACAGGAAGATCCAGATGCTCAAGTTGATCAGGAGGTAACAGCTTCAAGCAACCTGATAAAATCCACAAATTGAGTCATGTTCTATACAACAGATGACAAAAACATCAATATCAAAGACATCATGAACAACCTTCTATATTTATTGTCCACAATACAAATTCAACCTGAATTAATTGCTAAATCTATAACTCAGCTTTCTTGTCTTAAAAACTGTTGCATTATGGAATTCTTGTTTCACTTTCCTGCACTCCAACAATTTTATTTATTTCATAGTAAAGAGCTCCTTTGCACACGGCCCCCTATTTTATAATTATCACTAGAGAAAAAAATCCCAAGCTCTTAGCACAAGAAAACTACCTCGTAACACCTAATTACTACACAATTGAATTAAAATTCATAATTTCTTTTTTCAATTTGAACGATATCATGCAAACTCAGCTGACTAGAGAGTTACCAAAATCATGTATGAATTTGTACACCTGAAACTTGCGTTGTAATTTATCTTCAATTTAAAGAAGAACTTAACTTGAAAGTAATATAAAGCCTTAGAGAAAACACTTACGATCTCTGCCATCACGAACATCTCTCGTCGGTGGTTCAATCCGAGTTAAATGTTCCCCCAAACTTGATTTCTTCACTTCAACGTGACTGTCTTTTGAGTTAACAACCAAACCGGGTTTCCTCCCAATTCTAGTGGCTTCAAAAAGAAGTAATCCAGCAGCGAAAACAAAGATCACTATGGTCCAGTACCTCAAAAAGAATCTTAGAAGTCGGCGAGTGAACTCGCTCTTGACTCGTAAGTTGTTTTTCTTGCGCTTCCTGCGAACTCGGACTCGCATCCGGCCGAGGTCATCTGACTCTTCATCGGAGATCGAGATTGATATGCCACTGTTGTTGAACATGTATGAGGAGATTGATAAGGCACAATAAACGCAATGCAAGGATCGATTAGATCAAATGGCAAAGGAATTAGCAATTTTGAATTTAGGAATCGAGGAAATTAGGTCTTTCCAAATGAAATAGTGAAAATGATTTCAGAGTAAAACCATTCGGTTGTAGACTTTGCTTTAGCCCGCTATTAGTTTGTTTAAGTTTTTTCTTCCTTCGCGCTTTAAACAATGAACTTTTGGATGGGAAATTGAATTAAAGTCAGATCTATCACAATGACAAATCCAACATACAGACATTAAAGTTAAAAAGGTAAAGGCACATTTAACTGTTTCATACTTCATCAGAACACCCCAGCTGCTAAACCCGGCATATTATATTGGTTTATGGGGATGAACGTCATTTTCCCATTATTAAGAAGTATCCCTCTAATAAAAATTCGATCAATTTAAAATATAAATATGTATTTTTATTTGATTGAAATTTAAACACAACTTCGTTAAGCACAAACACCAATTTTCCATTTCAACCCTTTTGTTTCACCGAAGGTCTAGCTATTGTAGTTTCCATGAATCATTTTTTCATTAAGCTCTTTAGAGACATGTTTTTTTTTTTTTTTTTGGTAATTAGAGACACGGTCAATATTCAAAATTCCAATGATAGAATGTAAATCAGTAGTTCTATCATATACATGAAGGATATTATTAAATTATAAAGATTATAACCATAAGCATTATTTCAATCTTAGTATACATATTCAACTGCATGTAATCTAAGGGGCTTTGTACACGAGAAAAGAAAGATCTATGACAACCCAAAAATGATAATGCAACGGGGAAAAGAAAATTTTTGATTACAAGGATAGCATTTTGACCCAAAATATATATATATATATATATAGATAGATAGATAGATATATTTTAAATTGATAGGCTAAGTGATGGACGAATCTTTGGGAAGCTGTAACCTCAACCCGTGGAAAAACCATATTGAGCAATAGATCAAGATCAAATATGCCTTCCCGGTTGCTTTCTCGCCAAAAAATTTATACTGGAGCACAGGCTTCATCAATCTACCTGCAAAAATGATAGTTATAAAGATGGCATCATCATTAGATGCTATTACACATCACATGAAAAGAACAAGAACTGAAGAAGACTGAAATATTCCTACCATCGATACTAGTATTCTTCCCCACATCTCATGTTTAATATCCCAAAAACAGATCAAGTGTCCAAACAGTTGGGAAGTTCTGAAGCTTTCTCGACACCCTTTGACTTATAAGGAGCTATTTCATGGACTGTATACTTGAGTGAACCCAGAAGATCAGTCTCAATCCATTCATGCCTGCATATGCTCAAAACAAATGGCATTAACTATAGACATTCGGAAAAAAAAGTTATTACATGGTGTTCCATAGCATTCCAAAAAAGATGTCCTAGATTCCTATCAAATCTAGTCAAAATTGATTTTTACTGTAAATTGCAAGAGTAAACTCATCACTGCACTGTTATGATAACTTCTATAGCTTTTGGAAATTACTCCCATTTGCATTGTTAAAGTCTTAAAAACTCTATCAACCATAATTCTGACAACGCCATACAAATGTGGTTGAAAATTAGTAAAACTCAAGGTTTAAGTAACTCACAGATTTCGGCAGAGATTATCAGTAGTCACAGACAGAGCAATTATCCTTAGTCTCAAATCCTTAACTTCATCCTCAGTGTATAAATGAAATTTCTCTTCCAAAATTGAGGAAAGCTTCTCAACATGTGCCTCAAACTGCTGCTGCTGGTCCTCAAACAAATTTTGTTTTAGTTCCCTTTCCTCCTTTGTCATTTCGTCTTTGAATAAATCATCACCAAACATGTAATAAGCAAAAGGGTATGAATACGAAAGGATGCGCCTTGATCTGAAGAGCCTATCGAGTCCACTTATTATCCAACTGAAGTCTTTAGATGATATTTCAGTTTCCTCCAGTATGTTTATTTTATCCTGTATAGTTTCCTTCATCTTCGATTCAAGTTTAAGAGAATCTATATGAGCTTTGTAACGGTTGTGGTAGTGAGTGTAGCGCTCAAGGCTCCGCTTCGCACACTCAGCTTCCTGTTCAAGTTCTTTGTATCGCCCACAACTGTGACCAGCAATTTCTGTCCAAGTGTGTTCCTGACCAGTGGCACCACCACAAAGCCAACTGTATAATAAGAAGAAAGTTTCAAAATTCAGTTTTTATCCTGTTATAAGTAACTACTATTGCATGGCAAAGATAATATTATTGTTCTAAGGGGCTCATTGGAGCACCAAGCATGCATTGCAATGGTCAAGGAAGCACTGCTAGAAGCATCAAATAGAAATAACATATAAACATGCGCCTGCAGTACAGTTATAAACAAAGTCAAAATTCATTAAAAGTAAAGTTTTAATGCAAAAAGAAAAAAAAAAAAAAAAAAAAAAAAAAAAAAAAGAGAAGCCCTTATAGACAGGTATAATTACACTGAATAAATTTGGTTCCGTGTGAGGAAACCAGCCATAGACAATATTGAAGTCTTAGACATCTACACCAGAGAGCAACCATGAAATGTGACTGCCCCTGGGTAATGTTTACCAGTCAAACCTTACAATTCCTCATATGAACAAATATACTGCAAATGAAAGGATAAATACTGCACTATGGTATATGACTGGGCTACAAATCCATACTACCCTGAAAGAATTCTCTTTAATCTAAAAATCATAAAGAGGCAGAAACTGCGGATGGTTTATTTAACAAATATTAGAAATCAAAGTCCTTAACAGCTGAATCTCAATCCAGACAGAGTGGCATGTCACAAGAAACATAAGTTCTGTGCAAGTATACATTTTTTATCCAGTTAAAATAAAAGAAATGGCAAACCAAAACAAGGTAGAAACTAAAATTTAACCAACAAGTCAAGTCATATAATTCACCCCATCCCCAGGAACTATAGATATGCATATGAATACACAGAAGGACAAAAAATAAAAATAAAAATGCAGAAGAAACAGATTAGAATTCTCACCAAAATGCTTGCCCACAAACACAGGATACCAGGTTGCAACCTCCATTCTTTTCAACTGGCTTTTGACATTTCGGGCAAGGTTTAGTGTGAACTGTGATCCAATTAACAGACTCAGATTCATCCAGGCATTTCTTGGACCAGAGTGCCCAAATTTGACATGAACATGGTGAGTGTGCTTCAGATGAGCAACTAAAACAAAATTGTAGCCCACATGCACATTCCACCTCACAAAGTTCATCCACCTCAATTCTTATTGCATTTCCACAGTGTGGGACACTAGGGCACCATTTAACTCTTCTATTATCCTCAATATATGATTCTAACAGGAAACGGTCAAATTTCTCTGCAAGATCAGAATCCCTCGCACTAACTAAATGTCTTACTTTTGCTTCATCACAGATAGCATTGCACTTGTGTGCCATGCACCTAATGCGTCTACTCTGGCCATCATTTATCAGCACAATAAAATGCTCAGTCCAACCTAAGCACAATCACATAAAAAGCCAATTTCAGTCTCATTCTCTTCAGGTGCTGCAAAGACACAACTTCCATTTTAAGAATTAAACATGATGATAAAAAAGCTTTCTTACCTTTATCTACCTATGGATAAAGTTAATCCTTTCACGCTTACACATCTTTCCTATCCTTATTTTCGTTTACAGCCATCAATGACACAAATCAGTCCAGCACTTCTATTACCAAACCAATTTATACAACAAAACTAAATATACTAAATAGGAATCAAATTTAACTTCTTGGTAAATATACTTCCATGTGTGCATTTATATTAGAGAAGGAAAGCACCTCATATTAAAAATGTTTAGCAAATCCCATGGGATGTCGATATGAATTTTTGGGAAGAAATTTTGCACAGTTGAATAACAACTTACTCAGATGGTGCCGTAAAAGAAAAATATTTCATGTCAGAATACTTACAAGAGTTGCAAAAGGAGTGACCACAGTCCATAGTAGTAACTTCCTCAGCAGACACATCATCAAAGCAAATATTGCAGGAAACTTTAGATGGTAATTCAGATGAGGAAAGGCCATCATGCTCCAGAATTGTTATACCTGCTTTAGCAAATAATCTCTCTTTCCCATACTCTACAAGTACTGAAAGCACCTTTTCAACATCCCAACGGTAATAGATAAGTAAGGTTCGAGCATGGTGTTCCTTCAGTGATAGCAAGTCCATTACTCTCAGCAAGTCCTCCCTCTGCATGATTTAATAACAACATTTTATACAAGTTTAGCATAACAAGGACCCAGTCCACTTTCTTTTTACTTTTTTCCTTTAAGAAAGAAAAACTAAGGGATAAAAGAATAGTGACCTCAGGAATGCATAACTGTAATTACCAAGTAGATACTTTACCTGCGCAGCCAAGAGTGATTCTTTTGTAATTACCTGCAAGATAGGAGGGTTACAAACCACATCAACAATAAGTGGGGAAAAAAAAAAAAAAAAACAGAAAAGTCATAAAGACAGTGACGCAAAAATTGAAAATCCAGAACAACTGAATTGTCTGTACACAAGTAACACAATGCCACAGGTAAATAGAACAGAAACCCGCTAAGCCCTAAGTTAGGGCGTATGAGATAAATATAAGAAAGCAAATTGTTAATGGAAAACATTGCATAGCCCAAAAGTAAATTTATTTGTTGCTTTTATGATGGAAACCAAACATTGGTCCAATTAATAAGCTGATTGCAAACAAAGCCAAGAAAAACATCAAGAATGTGAGGCAACATCATAATATGTAAATTTGACAATCAACAAAAAGAATCTGGATAAGCAACACATAATCACCTGGCCAGAAACTTTCAAACGGCATAAAAAATACTTTCTTGGTTGCTGATGACGTGGATTATGAAACAAAAAAGCTGGAAGCTATATATAAATCCAATTATTTTCCAACCAATAATAACAATAAATCGACTATTTCATTTAACTGTAACAGCCAAATTAATTTGTTTTGAGCCTTTTGACGCTAAATGTACTCGCGACTTATGAATCTTTGGGCTAAATAAACTATAACTTTCGGAATTGTATCAAGCTCAATTTAAGTATATTTAAAGAAAGAAAAACCTAAGACAAAGTAAAAATAAAAATAAAAATAAAAACTAAAGCCTACCTTACTCGATGAAGCAGTAGATTGGCGCACACACCACTCAGTCTCAGCCGCTTGTAATTCATCTCTACTATCATAATCGTCATAATCGTCATCGTTATCACCGTACGAATAACAATGATCATCGTCACTAATTCCATAATCCCCCATTGTCAATAAATATAATAAAGAAATGTAAAAATATCACGGTTCGATGGAAGAAACAATTTTCCCGGGAAAATCAGGGGCACCTTATTTGGTTTTGTTTTCTCGGGAAAAAGAAAAGCGTCGAATAAGGAAGCAAAATTGCTCACCAAACAAACTCTTTATAGGCCGTGGAATGCCGTTACATCTGAAACGCTGTTGCCCTGNTTGAAAATCCAGAACAACTGAATTGTCTGTACACAAGTAACACAATGCCACAGGTAAATAGAACAGAAACCCGCTAAGCCCTAAGTTAGGGCGTATGAGATAAATATAAGAAAGCAAATTGTTAATGGAAAACATTGCATAGCCCAAAAGTAAATTTATTTGTTGCTTTTATGATGGAAACCAAACATTGGTCCAATTAATAAGCTGATTGCAAACAAAGCCGAGAAAAAATTCATGAATGTGAGGCAACATCATAATATGTAAATTTGACAATCAACAAAAAGAATCTGGATAAGCAACACATAATCACCTGGCCAGAAACTTTCAAACGGCATAAAAAATACTTTCTTGGTTGCTGATGACGTGGATTATGAAACAAAAAAGCTGGAAGCTATATATAAATCCAATTATTTTCCAACCAATAATAACAATAAATCGACTATTTCATTTAACTGTAACAGCCAAATTAATTTGTTTTGAGCCTTTTGACGCTAAATGTACTCGCGACTTATGAATCTTTGGGCTAAATAAACTATAACTTTCGGAATTGTATCAAGCTCAATTTAAGTATATTTAAAGAAAGAAAAACCTAAGACAAAGTAAAAATAAAAATAAAAATAAAAACTAAAGCCTACCTTACTCGATGAAGCAGTAGATTGGCGCACACACCACTCAGTCTCAGCCGCTTGTAATTCATCTCTACTATCATAATCGTCATAATCGTCATCGTTATCACCGTACGAATAACAATGATCATCGTCACTAATTCCGTAATCCCCCATTCTGAATAAATATAATAAATAAATGTAAAAATATCACGGTTCGATGGAAGAAACAATTTTCCCGGGAAAATCAGGGGCACTTTATTTGGTTTTGTTTTCTCGGGAAAATGAAAAGCGTCGAATAAGGAAGCAAAATTGCTCACCAAACAAACTCTTTATAGGCCGTGGAATGCCGTTACATCTGAAACGCTGTTGCCCTGTATTGACTGTTTTGGCTAGATTTTTATCCCTTTTTTCTTTTCTTTTTCTTTTTTGTGAGATGCAGACTGACGTGCTGACGGTGCTAAAGTTAGTGAACTACTAAAACTATTAACGAGCTAAGAAATTTTGTGAAACGAGGTTTGCCCTTAAAAAAACACTCACAATCGCCAGTTTATACGTGGCTTGAAATTACTGGTTTATTAGTTTCATTAAGATATCCGACGTGTACATTTAAGTTTCTGACTTTCTGCAAAGACAAATTATATGCATTCCTTTCCTTTCCTTTCCTAGACCTACACCTACCATGAAATTTCTTATTTCTCCTATTGTCTCTCATTATGTATAAAATGAAAGGTTCAGAATTCAGTAAATTCAGTTTACTCCAGATGGTTGGGGCAAAGCAATGCCCATAAGCAATATCCGATACCAGTTCAAACGCTTTTGTGTAAACGTAAAAATCCGCCGAAAGCAAAGATATATCACAAAATTGAGTTTTTTTTTCTCAAGATTAATTTGAGCATGATAAATTATTGCAGTTTAGAGTCCAAAATAACGTCAAAATTTTTGACACGTTCAGATTTTGATTCAGTTAACCTCCCCTATTAATAAAAATTCATGACTTCAAAAATCTTCATTAAAGGAACTCATCATTCACAAAATTGCCAGGAATATTTGGATTATGTTAACCATCTACCAAAGATGCTTTTAAAAATTGTATGATATCTGAATCTAAAGTACATACTTCAGGAATTGAAATGTAAGAGACTCTTCATAGATACACAACAGAAATAGGTGTACAAATAAAAGTGCATTGCAATGCAACTCCAACCTCAACGCTTGGAAAATTGTGGTGCTTTACGGGCTTTCTTGAGACCAGCTTTCTTCCTCTCTACTACTCGAGAATCCCTGGTCAGAAGCCCTTCCTTTCTTAGAGGGGGTCTATGATCCTCGCTCACCTTCAACAATGCACGAGCAATGCCAAGCGATATTGCCTGAGCTTGACCAGATAGGCCACCTCCATGAGCTTTGACAAACACATCATAGCTACTTTCATAACCCAAAGTTACCAATGGGACTTTTATGTACTGTAGCCACAGTGGATTTCCTTGAAGATATTCCTGTAGAACGTTAAAAGAAGCAAATCACGAGGACTGCATAAACATATTAGAAAATCAAGAAAACTAATAAGCAAAGCAATCTATTAAGATCATTCAGAGATCCGCCATATAGAGAACCACCAGAATAGTTGCTATCATCCTCAGCTGAAAATATAACTCCAAAACTTTGCAGGCTTGTTCTTTTATTTCATATAAAAGGCCTACTATCGAAAAGGGACTTGCTTTGTCACACATGAGCCAAAAAAACCACAATCCTTCAATGCATAAAACTATGGATTTATTACACAGATGGCCAAATAGAGACTCTTTCATGACAAGGAAACCAAAATAAAACAATATCATACATCCCTCCCATAATCTTCAGTGAGTTGAGTAGAGTTTCATTTTGAACAGAATTGAGATCAACTCCAATTCTGCTGGAATAATCAACACAGTTTTCAGGGTCCAAAATTTCTAAGTTCAGGTTTTCCTCCAACATTTAGGTTGAGCTTAATCCAGATGAGTGCCTTGACCAAAATTGTGCAGGCTAGCAAATATATCCATAATACTAGGCTATGCACCTTGGAGCTTTGGAGTCTATTAAACTAGTTGTCTCCAGCTAAAGGAAAAAGAAAAGAAAATCCACAAGTAATTATTGTGTAATACAACTTCGAAACATCTTTGGTCCCAAAATGAAGGATGGCACTGACTATATCGCAAGCATGGGCGATGCAGTGTAATGGCCTAGGGTGGCCACTACAGAACCTCTGAATAATCCTAACAACTTTTCTTGAATATTTGAGATACAACAACAAATTCAGGTTCGGCCTTCTGGAAATTTGCTCAAGACTCATACTGATTAGTATTTATATGGGATAAAAGTGGCCAATTCAAGTAGGTAGTCCCACTGACCGTCTAATATCTCATCAATTTTTACCATTTCAAAGTGTTTTAAAATAGGACTTCAACTCTTTAATACATTGCTTCTCTTTGCATCAAGGTGTATATTTCTTTTGTAAACACTGTTGATATAAAGTGTAATAATAAATTATAATGACGTATATAAAGTGTTATATTCTTTAGATGAATATCACTATATAACTGTACAAGAAATCAGTATTAGTAATTTAGAAATGCCGGAAATAAAGTATTCCAAACTGCATCCTCTTCCTTTAAACCTCTTTTTAATTTTCTGTACAAAATCAACCTTATGATACTTTTAAATTCATTGTTATTAAAAGATACAGTATTTTTTATGAATATGCTAATATATATTTAAGAATATGAAAGTTTTATTGTATATTAGTGCGCTTCTATACTATCTGGCATTGTATTTGAAAAACAGAATACCATGCTTCATGAAAGCATAATTATGACCCTGGCTAAGCCCCTTTTTTGCAAGCCTGCAAATTTCCACAAGTTACTGCGGTTTGGACTCCAACTCTATAATGCACAAAATCCTCCACAAAATTTCAAACGACCAAACCTTAGAAATTTTATTTTTAAACAATGTATGTACTCATTAGGTTTAATTTCAGTCAAAGAGCAGTTTCGGGAACCAATAAGCATCATACCTCCCGACATGAATAAAGATTAGACGACGCAACTTACAAAGAGAGATAGTAAAAGAGAAAAGGAACCTTAGCGTCGCGATAGTTGATGATGACCTGTCCGTTGCCTTCTTGTAGGACCACGCGAGCTATGGCGCATTTTCTGCGACCAGTCCCGATTATAGTTTGCGCGGCAAATCCACCAGGAAGTCGCGATTTAACGTACTTCTTGAGATTTGTTGTTTCTCGTTCAGCCGGGGAAGCTACTGTGGCGGATACAACTAGTTTAGGAGTTTTAAAGATTGGCGCAATGGATATGGATTTGGATTGCTTAAATGAGAGAGAAGTGTTTGGTTGCTGAGAAATTTGGGAGGAAAATGAGAGAGAAGAAAACGAAGACGTGAGAGAGGATATAGAAAGGGCCATGGTGGTTTCGAGTTTGGAGAAAAAACGGATAAATTAAGCTTCAGTTGCAGTGCGGGGGGTTTTGAGAGGATGGGAAGAGATGAAGGGATTATGTTGGTGATAGCAAACGATGTCGTATGATTTAGAGTCAATACATAAGCTTCAGAAACGCATTGTCGTTTTATCTCAAAGCCACAAGACGGCGTTTGGATGCGCATAAAATTCGTGTACCTAAAGATGCGATGAAATTCTAATCGTCTATTAATATATTCGGTACATGAATTCGATACATATCCTTCTATAATTATATTATTTTTCTTTTTAATTAAGGTTTGAAAAACAATAATTCAAGGTATTTTATGGTTTATTTTTTTGGGGAAATATTGCTTCCAATACGCCTGAATTTGTGATTAAATCCCCACACCTAATATATTACTATCAAAACTAGATATCAAATTCGTGTCTCTCCGATATTTAGACCTGAATTTATTATTAATTTCACTATGTTATGTTCCAATAAATATTAATCCAATTATTATACAATTAAGCACCATAAATATAAATTATATAATCTAAATAAAACAAAAACCAAAAGAAAAGAAAAGAGATGTCAAAGATTGTGTGGGAGATAGAAAGAAAAGATCATGTTTTCATTATTAAAGCTGAAGCTGAGTGTAATTTAGCATGCGTGATGATTCAATATCAGCTCCCATTTCTTAACAAAATGGGTGTATGATGAATTTATGGGTTGTAATTTTTTTTTTTTTTTTTTTTGGTAATTAGGGATAGCTTGAGCGTACCTCAACTAATTCTTATGGGTCTTAAAATTAATGGTTATCTCTTCTAATAGTCGTGAGGATTGAATTTAGAAGTGAGACAGTTTATAGGTTACAACAGTAATGAAGTGATTTTGACCATTTTTGTTTGCTCATATTGGAACTCTTATGTCCTTTTGTCCGATTATTAACTGGATTACTTGAACTTGATGATGCACAGAATTGTGGAACAATGATTTCAAGATTAAATGATGTACTGGTTCAGAGCTGATTGAGCATGGGTTAACTAAATGAAATTTCAAAAGTTGGTGAGAATAGAATACACATTATTCGATGAAATTAAGTTAGTAAGCCCTTGGTAAACAAAATTGAATAACCAAACCGCTACTAAATACACCAAAAACCCATGGGTCCGCGCCATCCCCCCTCTTCAAATGAGGACAAAATCACAAATTCATTCTTTCTTTCCTTACCAATTTATAAATTGGTTCACCAACATGAACCTCTCTTTTTAACTCTTAACCCAGATGAGTAATGCCGGTTATGCTCCATCCAAAACCCCATTTCTCATTGCGCCCCTCAAAACTGTAAGACTTGTTAATGATCTGCAATTGATCCTCCCCATTTCCGAACACGGCTTTCTGCTTGTTCAGCTGCAAATTTAACCGTTCAACCCAATTAATGAAATGTAATGTGGTTAAATATCATAGGCAAGGAAATAAAGAATGGATTTGAGATACTGACTTCTGTTTTCCAATTGGTTATTGAAGTAACCACTATCAAAATTATGGTTTGCAAACAAATTCCTCCAATCATTCCTCCCCAGATACCCTGCAGAGCACAAGTAAAATTTTGGATTTTTATAAAGTCTTGATTTCATTATAAAAATGAACAAGAAAAAAGTACTGGAGAATAGAAATAGTTATATAAAATTATTTCACCTCAACTCCAAAATCCAATGTGAATCCCAAGACTATGCCGAGTGGCAGTCCAACAATGTAATAGCATCCGATGTTGATGTATGCAACAAGAGCTTGCCATCCAGCTCCAACAGCAACACCTTGACACCAAACGAAACCAATATTTAAAGAGATGGAACTTTAATTTCAGAGGCAAACTAACAAGAAAATGTTTCAGTAGGTTACCAGACAAGACTGGTTGCAGACTGTTGAGAAGTACAGTAAATGCCAGGAGGATAGCAAGATGGGTAGTTTCCTCGGCAACTGCGTCACTAGAGGTGAAGAGGTAAGGGAAATAATCTCTGGTGGCATACACCAATATCATGCAACAAACACCAATGGAGATGGATGTGAGAGAGACCACTACAACTGAAAATTTTGCAGCCCTAGAGTTACCAGCTCCAAGTTCATTTGATACTCTCACACTGTAACAAAAACATCAGTTGTAAGTCATTCGCACAAATGGCTGTTTTCTATGAAATTAAATATAACATGATGGCATAAGTGACTAGAAGTTAATTAAATGCAGGAGCAACACCTGATTGCGGCGTTAAATCCAAGTGCAATCATTGCATCCCAACCTTGAATGTTCATACTGCAAAACAAGATGTTACAAATTGATATTATAGTTGATTCTTGATTTTGTTTCTTCTTCCATGCTCAATAAATTATATTAACAACCTACCAGATAGAAATGGCATCAACTGGAATCAAAGGGTTAGACAAGCGGCCTGTTATCACTATCAATATCATCAAGTACCAAAACTCCAGGCTGAAATCAAAATTCCAAAAAGAAACACTATCAGTACAACATCTATATGATACAACTCTTAATTTAGTGAGCAGGCTGAGAGATATATACCATAGCATAACTGCAGAAGCCAAGGAAAGTTTGACAAAGCCCCACAAATCTGCAAATGCTAGCCATGAGAATCCACTCCACGCACCATCTGACTTGGTTATGAAAATGTACAATAATTGCAGAATATCTATGAGCCACCACGACACATTAAGAGTGATTGCTGCTCCGGTTAAGCCCCAACCAAGTTTCAATATCAGAAGCCAGCTAAAAACTGCATGTAGCACCAGAACGATGGCTGATATCCACGCCATCACCAAGACTTTCCTCTGTGATTGTAAGAATTTTTGAATCGGAAAATTTATTGCATAAGCAAACAATTGTGGAATCATCCACAGAGCAAATTTACCTGCATCAAAATGTCACTGCATAGTTATTTACATAATACACATAATTTCATCATAAAGAAAAATCATTTTAAATTAAATAATAGAATTAGAATTTTAGTGTCATAAACAGCATAAAACAAAAAAGGCACCAACCAGCAGCTTGGGAGATTTCAGTGGTCTCTCCAAAGAGCTCAAGAATTGGTGGAGACCAAATATAAATGGGAAGAAGACAGCAAGCTGTAGTGAGCAGAATGACCCATGATCTCTGCATATATATTCCCAACATTCTCAGTCTCCCTGCACCATATGCTTGCCCACATAGTGTCTCCAGTGCACTGCCCATTCCCAACTGCATTTATTAAACCAAAATTAACACAAGCCCCTATTATTTGGGTAAATAGCAACTTCGTAAGTTTACCGACTGCTACTAGTACTAACTAAAGTTACTTAAAAGCAGAGCACTTTCAAATCACAAGCTTCCTCACTTTATCTCTTACCATTTCTAGAATCAACATCCTACTCAAATTCTTTTTAACTTGTTATGTTATCATAGTAAAATACAAAAGTCCTAGCCAAAGCAACTGCTCTGGATGGTGGATATACTAACGCCTACTTCAACTCCACCCAGCTTATATATGCATTGCAAATGCAGGCCAAAAAAGCTTTCCACTAACTAGGAAATTGTTAAAAGTAAATAGAGAACTCACCATGACTCCATAAGCAAGACCCGCAATGACAGAGTTCTCGACGGCCACAGCAGCGAGGTCAATTTCACTAACAAGACCAGCAAATGTTTGAGTAAGTGCACCAAGTGAGTACTGACAAATGGCAGTAAAGATTGCTGGCCCAGCAATTTTCCATAACTTTTTTGATTCATAGCCAAACTCCTTGACAAAAGTAACTGGTTTGTTCTGCTCATCATCTCCATTGGTTTGGCTGACTGTTTGGTTATCAAGAAGTGGAGTAGTTTCCACGGCCATGGCTCTAAGGTTCTACTACAAACCAAGAGCTAGAGCTACCGAAGATATTACTAATTTACTACTGCTTAAGAATGAGTTTGTACTTCTTGAAGTATTTATTATATGCAAAGAGAATTAGGGTTTGGAGCTTGGTCTATGGATCTGTGCTTCTTTTTTACAAGTTAGTTAGATTAGATATGGACTTAAGATTGTTTGAAAGGTGGTTATAACTTACCAAAATCCCATAAAGAATGGCTGTTAACAGCCACCGTCGACTTACGTTGAGAGTTAGACACACGGGGCTTTTGTCCTTTTATTTAATTCATCCTTCTTGTCCTCATGTGCATTACTAGCAGCACACCTCCCATATATATATATACATATATATATATATAGGAGTTTTGTTACTATAAGTAGTTGACTCCCTCGTTGAAACCTAATAGGTGTTAGTTGGGACTTGGAAAATGTGTACCATTTTTAGGGGAATTGAAGAAGTTTGATTTGAGTTGGCAATATTTAATGACATCGGTAAACCTTACCAAAATACATTTGACAAACTCCTTTTCATTAAATGAAAACGACGATAGTTGAACAAATTGAATATGTCGAGACTATTGGGACCTACCAAACAACTTTAAAAACTCATATATATATATAAATATTTGGTGGGGAAGATTTTGACGTGGTAGCTAAATTTTCAGGTTGGGTTTAGAGTAGAAAAGTAGGTGAAGATGAACAACTCCTTCAACAATGCTCAATCTATTTTATTTCACGAAGACAAAAATAATTAATTCCCACGTAAATTCTTGATTTGCAAGGAAAGGAAGATGAAGTCTATCACAATCAAACTCAAAAGCCAATAATTTTTCTCCTTTACTGAGTTTGGTCCACCGAAATTAAAAGGATGAAAGTGGTAGAAAGAGAATTTGGTAATAACTGCCTTTCCATTGACCCAGAACCAGAAGTCCATATATTAATGCTCAATTACATTTACGCTTAATTTATTTATATATCTCTCTATGGATTGATTTAATTTTTTATAACCAATCGCCTTCTCTATAAGAAAGATTTTTTTACCAAATTCAATACTAAACATTCTAACATTCAATGAAAAACTACTTCTATAAACAATAAGCTTACTGCTCTCCAATCTCCATATCCATCAACTGTCAGGTTATAGCTGATTTGATAGCTAGCGCCTAGCAACCCTCAAGGATTGGTGTTCCTGTTGACTTTGCAACAAATTGTCTAAAACCCAGGTAGAAGATGACACAAGGCGAAGACCTACAAGTTCACACTGCTACCCATTATGAAACTTCATTTGTTTTGGACAAATATGCAGCTATAAGCATGACAAAGAAAAGAATCATGGCTCCATGCAGCTCCAACACAGCTCATTGTTTATCAATACTTTTTTTTTTTTCTTTTTTTTTTTATTTTCTTTTTGCTAGGAAAAAGGAGTAAGTGTTATAATTCCAAAAAAGAATGACAAAGGAGCATGCTGACCGTTTGGTTATTAACACTATTCTTTAACAACATGCTTCCGCAAGATTAATTACAATGATATTGCTTGTTTTGGGTAAGAGTTGAAAGAAATAAGATACATTCACACACTTTTTAACATTTTCAAGTCTCTCTCCGGCTGCCAAGACCCACACAGATTGTTAAGGGTCCAAAAAGATGACTTCTGCTTGCACTGAGGCACGTCGGAATCTCAGCAATTCTTTCAGCATATCCCATCCTCCATCAGCAGAAGCAGGCTTGACAGTCATCCTCTCAAGTGCAGGAGAGTTTGAAAGCACAAAGTTGATAAACTCCAATTCGGATTTTATACCAGAGATGCCCACTATCTTCACTATCTGCAGCTGGGGAAACATAGAGTTCCAGTGATCATCATCCCAAAAGCTTGTGAGAACACCGATACAATTATCCTCCGGGCGAGCCTACATGCAGTCCAATATGTTAGAATCTTGCAAATTCCTCCAAATCAGAAATGGATTTTCAATCAGTATATCAGTTAACCAGGTAGGTTAAAGCATTCAAATGGCATTAATTCAGACAAAATCACATTGTTAATTAACAAAAATTGAACAAAGCAAATTAACCAACCAGCATCTCTAGTTCTTGTAGATTAGGAGAACTTCTCAAGAGGCATAAAGCAGCTAAACACTCCTCCAAATCATTGAAATTTATGCGTATAGAAAGATAATTCAAATCAGCACATGGACGAGGCAACCTGCTTGGCACATTGCCAATGGCTAGATACTGGAGAAAATAGAACACATAGAGTAAAGGCATAAGTTAAAATCTCACACAAATATAATAGAGGTGGCAGATGGACATCCTGATGAATTGAAACAATGCACTGGAATTTACAGATCATTTGAAAAACAAGAGTTGGAGTAATGACTCCGAACATTACCTTTAAAAAATAACTCTGAACCTCTAGCCTGCGGATATGAGGAAGATGAACAAAGAACCTAAGTAGTTTTCCAGAATTCCCTGGAGCCATGGGTAGCTCAGTTTTGACATTTACGTACAAACCAATGGAAACTAAAGCTAAATGGAAGGTGTTCTCGAAAATAACATCATCAAAAACACCCCCAATATCAAAAAACTGGAGATTGGGTGCATCAATTTTAAGATGAGTGAAACCATCAAAATTCATCAATGTTAATCTCTCGAGCAGGGGACAGCTTGAAATTAAATTTTCAAACACATCCTGGGAAAGGGTAATGTGCTGAAGATCGAGACTCTTCAAATGCCTGAAGCCTTTGAATGTTGATGGAGGTTTCAGCAAACAATTAAATAGCTCCAAATGAATCAAATTTTGGCAAGAGAATAAACTAGAAGGCACCTTGTAACGCTGCCCCTTCCAAATCTCAAGTATGAATTCTTTGATGCAGATTCTTGATACATGGAGAATCCATCGATCAATGTCACTGACACCTAGAAGATCTCGGTGAGAGAGTTTAAACTTCAGTATTGGCCCATTGTGAAGTAAGAGAACATGATCAACAATGTTCACAAGCTTATTCTTAACAAGTGTCTGATCTTGGGAAAAAGATACACACTGATTATCAAACACAAGATGTGGAATTGTAGCCCATTTGTATCTCCATTTTCTTGACAAAACACTTGTCCTCACAGCATCCCTAATCGACAACTGGGATAAAATTTGGTCTATCACGTATGCTGGTAAGCTGCTGATCCTGTCTAGCTCTGTCTCTATTTTACAAGGTAACTCAGGTGGTTCCCTCTTCTTCTGAAATATTAAAGGGAGAAAACACACAAATGAAATATGGATATATGGGGAGCCTTGGGCCTTTATCGTGTCTATATTTAAAAAGAAAAATATAAAATTAAACTCGTTTAAGTAATCAGGCTAACCCAGGTAGAATGTTAGTTATTTTTCCTTGTTTCAATTTAGTAAGCATGCATTGAAGAGAGAGAAGAAATAATAATTCAAATGAAGGTACTAAATTTTCAATCAATAAAAATCCATCAATTTTCTATATTCCATCACAAATTTCACAGATAAGGGAAAAAATGATAAGTGCATATAAAAGGAATACACAAATATTATTAATCGAATTGCAAATTTTCCTAAGCAACATTCCTCTTAAGTATCACGCATTTATTAAAGCCGTATGAACAAAAAGGAATCCTCACAAGTGAAGTCTCCATATTTATTAGCAGTGGCAAGTACAGCTACTAACTGTCAACATTGGCATCAGCATTCAACTGAAGGAAACAGACTGAGGAATATGCAATTGTAGCAATTAGCAAAATTATTTGCCCTAACTTTAATATAGAATCTCCAAATAGAGGTGTACTCACGTAATGTAATTTCTTCAAGCAAATTCCAAAAAACAAATAAAAGGAAGACTAAAACGGTTAATTCATTTTATAAGGAAGCTGTAGTTTTGCCAGGACAAGAACATCAAGATGACCCCATTTGCAAGAAGGGATGCTTGGTCATGACACATGCAGAATAAAAGAGTTCCTGTAGAACAACCTTCCAGACATCAATTTGGACAAGTAATTAACTCACTATATACCCTCACCATGTGCACAACACAAGCAGTTCCACAAATGATACGTTACCAAGGGAGACCCTTACCAATTATGCAAGCAAGAAGGACAAGAAACAAATAAAATGGATATAACAAATAGAAGAGAGAAGGCACCCATTGCCGATGTTGCAAACCTCTAAACCATCCTTCTTACATTTAAAAATATTCAAGCTCCATCAAAGTTTCAAAGACAACGCCAACTATGGTGCCTATGTTAATTCCGATAAATTCTAATTAAGGGTCCAACAAAGTACTAATTAATATTATCCGATTCAAGTTAATGTTCTTAGTGAGCAAACTTCCCCCTCATTAATATTCTCAACTTTTTTAACTAGGAATCTGGCAATGCCACAAAATTTTTACCTGAGAGAACCTTTTAGTCATATATTACAGTATTAAAGAGGTTCTCTTTCTCAGAGATGTTTAATGAAAATAATAAATTTTCAGCTTTAAAACACAAGCTAGCAATATAATCAAACTTACCATGCTGTTTATATTATGCTATGTGGATATCAGAGCCGAGGCAACACCCTTTGTTCTTTCAACAAGATTATGAAACCGCCATACAATAGTTCTAGTGGCCAAATCTGATTCACAAAACAACACCAAAGATAATCATAACGATGTGCTATAATTTCAAAAAGAGATCTGGACATTCGAAGCATGTCATACTCACTGTTCTAAACAGGTCTGGGCAAGTATTTCTGAGTTCGGAGATCTTCAAAAAAAAAAAAAAAAAAATTAAAAAAAAAACGAAGATTAACAATTATTAGTGAAAAAAGACACTGAAATTAAAGTTGAGATAGAAGAAAAACGCAACCTATAAATAATCCACATTATTTAATCATAATTGACGCGATATCGAAAGATTAATCTCAGATTCTTATATAAGAAAATATAAAAAGATCGGTTCCACATTATTTGGAGGTTAAAAGAGAAGGGAAAATCATAGCATAACAAAACAATCAAAGTCTTACATTGCATTTTGACAAGAAACGAAATGGAAACCCAGGTGCGGGATTTTTGTTTTACTTTTATTTATTTTTCCTGTCAGGAAGTCAGACAAATTTGAGAGACAAAGACGCGGATGAAAGACTCTTACTGGGCTCCGCAGTGGACACACTTTTTAGCCCAAAGCCCAAACTGTTGTTAGAGTTTCACTTTCATTGCGGGTTTTGAAGTTTGAACCTGAACCGGGATGGTTCAACAGAAAACAACCGGTTAAAAACTCAATCAATGGGACCTATATTTAAAAAGTTATCTATTTATCTTTAAAAAGCTTAAATAAATTAAAAATATCTACAAAGTACAACCACCGTAATTTCAACCTAGAGTAAAAAAATCAGATATTTTCACTATCTTTTGTTTTTTTCCCAAGAAACAAATCCACACAACCCAAGGCCCAAGCCAAACCACAAAAACCAACAACTATGGATTTAACCTCAAAGACAAACATTAGAAGAAAAAGGATGGAAAATGACGGTGTTGTAGTTGAATTATGTAGATAGCAAACAAGTGATAGATAGGGAAAAAGAAAATATATTGCATGTCGTGGCAGCAATGGCTTATCCATTAGAAGTTGTTTGAGGCGATAATATAGCTAAACAAATAATGTTATACCTACAATTTCTTTTCTGTTGGAAATAAAATAGAATAACATATATCCTAACATAATCCCAAGATCATAATCACCATTGCAATCACATTTGTATATAAATGAACTACAATGAATTTACACAGCATAAATACCTCTACTCCTTATCTCTGAAGCAATAAAGTTAATCTAGAAGAAAGCCACGAAATGTATTTCTGTTTTCCAAATTCTAGAGAGAGAGAGAGCGTATTTTCTTTTTCGTTTTTCTGAGAGTGACAGTGTCATTGTAAAAGAAAGAAATTTTTCTTTTATATATAGCGGTTAGAGAGAAACTGCATTTGGCAGTTTCATTTCATACACGTCGCTTGGGGTAACCCATCATGGGTGTACCCTTATCCAATATTTTCAAAAACCTTTTTTCACAATTCTGACGTGATAGTTCGCAATTAGTCAACCACAATTTATCAAGTAGAACTTAGGTGGAACCTATTACAAGCTAATCAATTGCAAGCTACCATATCAGGATTGTGAGAGAAAGTTTATGAGAAGAGGTTGTGAGTGTAATATTTTTCATAGCTAAAAATATAGAGAATCTTTGCAAAGTGACAAATCAAAGGATATAGAGACTGACGATGCAAGCGATGTAGTTTATGGATACAGTTAAAATAGAGTGTAAGCCGACAGATGCGAAAGTCTTTGCAGTGGTTTCTTCTAATTTTAATTTTTTTTTTTTTAAAACCCATTATTTTTTGTTATGTATTTTGATTGCCAATTAATTTTGCAAGGTCTAATTTGTTGATTTAGGACTGAATTTTGTTTGACTTATCTGGCTTTCTAACTCGCAAAAGAGGCTAGAAATTTGCCCATAAAGATTTCAGAAATAGAAGAAGGGTATAGGCTTTGGTTGTACTGGTGGGCGGTGGTGATGATTTGAGCAAAGATATAGCAACTAATTTTACAAGTTTTAGTATTGATACAATGGAGAGGTCAATCAAATAATCATTATTTTATTTATTTATCAACAAAAAAAAAAAGCTACTTTTTTTATAGATTAATAATGTAAATAATTTAATTAAGAGTAAACGACATTTTCCCACCAAGGTTTGGCGAATATGCAAGTTCCCACCCCTAGTTTCATAAATTTCAGATTCTCACCCTTAAATTAACACCGTTACTTTTCTCACAAAATAATCCCCACATCTCAAATTTCTCTCAAATAACCCCCAGAGGAGATCTTGGCCAAGCCCAAAACCCTGCCTGATTCCGACACCATTGGACCTCCCCGAAACCACCATCAGCATCCCCTTATCCTCCTCACCAAAGCCCCTAACTTTTCCACTTGATTACACCTCAGCGAGGTGCCAGAATTTGGCTGGAAAGGGGCAACAAAACATGAAAACCTAAGGGAGAGGCGACGGCGATCAGCAAGCAATTGCAGTTGGTGATGTTGGGGGTTTTGGTGGGGGGAAGCCGACGATGCTATTGGTGGTCTTGGGGGTGGTTTTCGATGCCGAGATCTGCCATAATTTGGATGAAATGCCAATTGATACTAAAAGCGACGGTCGACGATTGGGGGGTTCAATCAGGCGGGGAGGTTAGGGGTTTTGATATGGGCGTTGAGGGGATTGTAATGGTGGTGTTGGGAGGGGTCGATTGTGTCGGAAACAAGCCGGAACGGCCTGAAATTGCCGGTGGGGTGAATTTGAGAAGTGAAGGGTTATTTTAAAATTTTTCAGTGGGGTGAATTTGAGAAGTAAAGAGTTGTTTTGAAATTTTCATGTTTGAAATGACCATTTTGCCCTTTTAACTGTTAAATTAAATAGTTTTCTGTTAATTTAAGGGTGGCAATCTGCAATTTATGACACCAATTCGCCAAACCTTGGGTGGGAAAATGTCGTTTACTCTTTAATTAATAAGAAGATAATAGTATACTGTTTTCTATCATAAGTATTTAAGTCGGAAATTAAGACTGTGAACTGAATAGAATAACAAGGACAAAGTAGACTTTACACAATAAAATACACTCTATTAATTATATCTTAACTTCACTCACAGTTTGAGGTGTAAGTGTTGACCTAATGTTGTTATTTTTTATTGTGAAACTTTGAATCCTCAAGGGGTGTTGATGTTATTAACCCTTGATATAATAAAAGATTCGTTCGTGAATTAAATGCGTTGCTTCCTTTGTCTAACCCGGCACATTTCATATTCATATTCACATTTTGATTATAGCCTGTCCATTATAATAATTTATCAAATATCTTCATTACTTTTATAATTTTAAAAATTATAAATAAAAGTAATCATGGCAACTTATATTACGTTTCCATATAGAAACTGTTATGCCTGAAAAGTTAGGGCTAACATAGACTCTCGTCAGCAAGAGTCAATAATGATTCAGAAAGATTTTGTATCGTCCAGACACTACCACGTCGTGCAGTGACGGAAGAGGTATGGTTTAGTGCATCATGTGAGTGTCAGGCTTGCGAGTGGTTAGAGATTATCCACCTGCTCAAACTCTATGCAATTTGAGGATATTTCTTGTGTAGATAACCAATAGGATGCAAAAAAGGATTTACACGGCACTTACCCACTTACAGACTCGTAATTATTACCTTGCACTCTCTCATTATAAATAGAGGAAACCCCTCTCATTTACGGGATTGATTAATCTTAGTCTAAAATAGCTTATATACACACTCTCTCTCTTTTTGTATTCTGTCTAGATTGTAACTCAGTTTGCCATACACAACCTGATTTTACCCATATATTAATATAATAGCAATAGACGTATGATTCGCTTTTGAACATCCAAACCACTTTAAATATTGTTTTCTATTTATTATCTCATTTTATTTTTCTTTATCGCGTGTGATTTCAAAATTCACATAACACTTTACATATATGAGTCGTTACACTTTACATATAAGAGTCGTTGCTGTCAAAATCGAATTCAATTTTCTTCATGGAAACGTAATATAACTTGCCAATTTCGCAATAAATTCCTGGAACTTTAGTTATCCATTAAGAAGATGACACGTATATTAAGTAAATCGTCTCATACGCAAAGCGGTATGCAGAAGTCAACGGCCTGTATGGAGACAAACTAGGCCTTTTCCCATCTTAATTATTATTTAAAGAAAATAAATTATATTTTTTCTTCTTCACTAATCTGTTTTTTAGACATTTGAATGTGGCGGCAGATGCTCACCCGTTGTGAGAAGCACGGCCATTGTTACTGGTTTGAACTTTGAACACCCTTTCCTAATATCTCAAAATTATTAGTGTACAAGTTTTGATTACCCTTTAAGGGACATTTATCCGTTTACATAATTGACATAAATCTGGGTGTTCATTTATCAGGTCGTTGTGATGTTTGATTTAACTTCTTTCTATGGTCAATCATGCCTAACCTAACTTGTTGAGAAATTAGTTTATCAAAAATAAGAGATATATAACAGAAGATTTTAGATGCTTGACTTTTGTTTCATACCTACACCGCCTAAAGAAAAAATACTTCGCTTTTGTATATAAACTTCATCTGCAAGGTCTAAGTCAATATGCATGCTAGCTGTATATGTTTATTTATGGTTTTTGTATCGTTCAATCATTCATCTCTCTCCCCAAAAATTCCAGTTTTACTCCAAACATTGCATGTCTAATCAGTTTACACCCCGAGAAAGTGCTTGTTTTGGTGAATCACACGGCCAGAGAATGGGGAATTTCAACGGAGTTCTTGGTGTTAAAGGGTATTAATTATTAATTACATGAAGATTTCTTGATCTTTGTTTTATAAGTCAACCTTCCCGCATTGTCCTTCGTCTCTCTTTTTGTCTTAATAATTATTAATGGAAACGGGCTTATCAAATTTGCAGAAGAGGTTTCAAGTTGAAGAGAAAACAAATGGATTTGATGAAGAACCAACTGGTAAGTAATAACGAAGGAATACAGACAGTAGAGGTCGACAATCATTGTAACTTCTTACAGAATTCGGACCTCTGCATTTGCGTGGTGACTTGGAACATGAATGGACAGGTAAAGCCGAAACCAGTTTCTCAATCTTATGTGTTAATTATCTTCCACTGCTATATATTTAGATGGGTGCATGCTGCCTCGTGAAGGTATCTTACGAAGATTTGGTGAAGTTAATTGGGAGCAGCCGCAAGTTTGATCTACTTGTAGTTGGTTTGCAAGAGGTCCCTCGAAAAAACATAGCACAATTGTTGCAGACAGCTCTTGCTGAAACTCACGTGTAAGCGGCAAACCCCGTTCCACCTCATAATAATACAATACAGTAACGGTGTTCATCTTGAGCAGAGACGTATCAGATTGATCTTCGATGAATTGATGAATTATTCAATGTCAAATTCATTTGTCAAAGAATTCATTTATTTGCTGAAAAATATTCTTATATGAGATTATTAGATGCTTAGTATCCATCTGTCTTCATTCATTTAATCTATAGCATACATTCCTCTTATAGACTTGACTTTTTGTTTTTTTTTTTTCGTTTGAAGAATGTTATTAATAGTACCATTTCTGCTTTTCTAATTCTTTTTACCTCTAGTGCACTAATTAATTACTAGTTTTTATTTCCACACCTGTAGCCTCTTTGCAGAAGCCATCATGCAATCTCTGCAGTTATACATGTTTGGGCTGAAGAACTCTGAATTGCTTATCAAAGGTAAGGCACCAAACATAATGTTTTGAAGTTAAGTGATACATTGTTTACAAGATTGAGACCATTGCTTCTTTTGTAGAATTAAAGGTTGATAAGTATTCTGTTGGGGGATTTGGAGGATTAATTAGAAGAAAGAAAGGGGCTGTGGCAATCCGCATCAATTATAAAGGAATCATAATGGTGTACATCTCCTGTCATCTCTCTGGTAAGTTCATTGTTCCCTTGTCCCTCCTTCATTCCTAGCCGAAGCCAAGGTCTTTGTTTGATGATACATCCATTTTCCTTAACCTTAGGGTTCACTTGTGAGTTTCATGGTAGTGGTTATGAGAGTAAACCACTGTAACGGTTTTGCAAGTAAATTACCGTCGCGGTTTTGAGGGGTTTTTAGTAGCAGTTTTTAAAACACCCAACCTATGCTTAAGAGTTTATTTTCCACAGTTTTTTAAAATGATAAATTTACATATATGCCCATAAAAATATCCCAACTTTAACCAGTACTTGGGAGTTTGTTTTTTCAATTATAAGGTAAGAGTCTTTTATTTGTTTTTTACTTATTTAGTATTTTATAACTCAAATATGATAAAGTTTCTCTACCATTCTTCATCGTTCTTTGCAACATCTAGAATGATTAAAAAATAATAGCTCCACTTCTCCAAGAAAACATCTAGAAATGACATGTTGATAATTTTTTTTTTAATGATTGCTTAGAATTATTTTATATCTAATATAGTTGGAGATACATATAATATGGTTACTTTTTTTTTTTTTTTATATAATTGGGACAGTTTTGTTGTGGATTGGATATTTGTGGAATAAAATTTTAAAACCAACTAAAACACTCCGATTTGGTGTATTTTATAAACCCCTCAAAAATACACTATACTGATTTTGACAGGTTTTTGAGCCAATCAAAATCAGTGTATAAAAAACCTGGCAAATACTGGTTTTAGAAAACATCAAAACCAGTTTAATTAAAAACCCCTCAAAACCAATAAAAAAAAACTGTTAAGCAGACTCTTAAATTTCCAAAATACTTCAACATGGGGTTATATATATGTATCTGTTCGTGATTTTAATTTTCTATTTTCACGCAGCACATGCTCGCAATGTGGAAGAAAGAAATTCTCAATGCAGGCACATATCACACGAAATTTTCTCCAATAATGTAAACCCTTATGCCAAGCGAGCCCATATAACAGTATGGTTGGGGGACCTCAACTACAGGATAAATGGTATCACTACGCACCCTACCAGAAATCTAATACAGAAAGATCTGCATCACAAAGTAAGTAGACAGTCAATTTCTGTTATGTATTTGCCAAAATAGTTCTGCTTTGTTAAGGGCCAAAACCTGATGAGCACAATAGTCACCATCATTTTCAAAATTTATGTTGCCAATTTAATAGAAGAGCTTTCTAACAATTTTTGCATTAATTACAGCTGCTGACCAGTAAAGATCAACTGTTACAAGAGGCCAAAAGAGGGCAAATCTTCAATGGATATTGTGAGGGATCACTCACATTCAAACCAACATTCAAGTATAATGTTGGAAGCAGCAACTACGATACAAGTCACAAGGTATTAACAATCTTACTTCTTTTTAATATTTTTTTTCTTTTTTGTTTTGTTTATGCCAGTAAAAATATTGAAGATCCTGACACATTAATTTTCCCTCCCTTTCATATTTGTTGTTTCGTTAGGTACGAGTTCCATCATGGACTGACAGGATCTTGTTCAAGATAGAAGACCCCGACAAAATCAATGCGAGTTTACATGGTTACAAATCCGTTGATGATATTTACAGTTCTGATCACAAACCAGTGAAAGCTCACCTCTGCTTAACACTTAACAAACAGTCACCACCTACCGGGAAAAAAATACTTCCGTAAGACCTTTGCGGAAAAAGAAACAGCCATCTTCTTTATCTGTCAAGATCACGTGGTATAGTAATTAAATACTATCAAGTGTGTAAATTCGATCCAATTACTCCAAAACGAAAAAGATTCATTTGTACAATTAACAGACTATTCTTTAAACAGTTTATGAATTTGCTTTCAGAGATGAACTGAAAACTATTATTTCGTAATGGTGACCTCTTCTAAAAAAGCATTAATTCAATCAACTTGTATATTCTAAGCCAATAATTTCCTCGGCCATGGAGCCTACACGTGGGGAACCGCAGTTGGATTTGGTAAATTGCATACAAAGGCAGTCTGCAAATTTCATCAGAAAGAGTTTGAAGTAGTTTTACCTAATTAAGCCATCTTTGTTGACGTCGACTAGTTTGCCATTGCCACCAAACAAATTAACAATAATATTAAAGCGAATGACCAAATTGTGTGCTAAGCATTATAGAAGTTGAGCCAGCTTAAATTCAAGTTGTTAAAACTAACAGAAATGGCGTTTCAAATCAACTTCAAAACACGTGGAAAACATGTTATGTATATGTTAATTGTTGTGTGTGATTTTGCAGATGATTGAAGATCTCATAAGCTAGCAGAATTGTAGTTCGACCTAGAATCTGACAACTACGGATCAAAGGATGAGTACCAATCTTTGATATCTCGAAGGAGATAAGACTAACATTGATTGCAGTACAATCTTAACGCAGAATCACTAAAATCACAAGATTGCAATCTCGAATTCATCTCTCCTTTCCTTTTGTGAAAATCATGTATAAATACCTCATAAAACAATGAAAAATGTGTTAACAAATTATTCTAAGTAAAAGACTCATTTTTTGTAGTTCTCAAAAGCAATAAAAAACAAGTAAGCTCAAGATTCAACTTGTCGAATCACTCTAAAAATCTTTTTGTGTTCTTTATTTTATTGCTCTTTTATTATATATTATTGATTTCAGTTAATCACATATGTCATTTTGATTTCAGTTAATTATATACACATTTATTCTGATTTCATCAAGATCAATCGGATCTCTTTGGTTGATACGATTTTCATATCAACATTAATAATGTTAATGTTATTTATACAAGAAGGCTTTTGATGCCTTAAAAACAAAAAAAACAAAAATAGAGGAAAACATGGATTGTATTGACCGATGAGCCATTAAAGACGGGTGACATAGGCAATAATTAAAGGGTGCTTAAATTTAAATGTGAAAGGGCGTTAGACTTACCGCGTAAATATGGACGGCAGAAGACTGTGTACAAGACTTTGTCAGCGTATACGAGGAGTTTCTAACAGAAGTCGCGTAGGGGTTTTAACTAACACGTGGCCGACGTCTGATGTCGATGGGAGCGGCTCAAGACTCAAGCCTCACGTAACGAAAGCATATAGTTTCATCTTTAAAATCGTCAAGTCAATTATTTCTTTGCATAATAATTAATTATTAAATATAGTAGCTTACTATTTTTGAAGGTTCTAACATGTACCTTTAGACATTTATTGAGATAATGTACTTTATTTAAGAGTTTTTAAATAAATATTTCATCGCTTTGACATTTTCCTTCTTTAAATAAAACTATGGTTTATGTAAAAGTCATATCATAATTTAATAAGGTACAATATTTGTAAAAAATTAGTTCAGAAAAACATGTAGACAAGATTAAGAATCTAAGTAGTAAATTCCTGTGGAAACCCAAACAAAACAATTCGAAGATAGTTATTAGTACAAGATTAAAGCTTGATAGCATTGGAATCTTTAGCGAACGGTTCAACTTTTGATTTTGAAACATAGAGATTACAGACACAGCAAGAGACTTGTAGTTCAAACTGTTAATGATCGTGCACAACTTCGAACTTTTCATCCTGTTTTCGGTGCCTTTTAACTTTAAACCCCCCACGTCAACTGGCTCAATTTGAACGACTCAAGCCATCTTTGCATAAAATACTACCAAAAACAAAAAGATAAAAAAGGAAAAAAAAGAAAATCGCTTTCCTCAAAGAACCTTTGTTGGGGCCTTCTTGTTGAAGAATTAGGAGGACCCCACATGCCTTCCAAATTATAGGAAAATTTAGTCAAAACCCAATTGGGTTTGATGATTCTTCGTCAATCCCTTTTGGGTTATCAACACAACTATCCGTTTATGTTTTTACGTTTTCTAATAATTTGACTTTGAATTGGCTTACAATTCAAGTACACCGCCATTCTTTTTGCGTATTTGCCTTCTCTTCTAGTCATTCTGAATCATCTTCCATTTATTTTTGATAACATTTTTGTTGCTCTGATAGATTCTAACCCGCTTTGGATTGAAAGCGTTTAAAAGCAAAAAGGGTCTCTCCTCTTCTGAATATATAGTTTTTTTTATTTTTTATTATTTTTTTTTTTTTTGAAGAATATCTATCTTCCTTTGTGAGACTGTAAATTTGGCCTTTTGAGGGAATTGGATCTTTATCTGATCTGGGTGTGTTCTGCTTCTACCATTGTTCCAGGTTCTTGATTTGTCAGAGGTGAGTCATTTTCCCACTATTTTGATTCTTAAATCTTTTTATCTTTAGAGCCTGTAACAAAACGCTACATGTCATGAATTTGTTGGCATGGTGAGCTGGAAGAATCTCTGTCTTCTATCTCATATATAATCTTGAGCTTGTGACAACTTATTGATCTTTTTTCACTCCTTTGTGGCTCTAACCTTCTGGGCAACACAATGCCTGGTGGGTGCTGTATTTATTTTATTTTTAGAGTTTTGTTTTCTTATGCTTATCAAGAGAAATGCCCTACTCCAATGTGGGAATTGACTGTGCATGAAATGGATATGAAATTTAGATTGTCTAAATGTATGGAAAGTATACTCCAGTTATGATAGCCCTATAGCTCTATGTATGTCTATATTTTGATGGTGTTTACTTTTCTCAATCGTTCTAACTAAATTTGACTTTAGTTTCATAGACATGGATGGCTTGCCTGAGATTTTTTGCCTTCAACTTTTTTCTTCTTATGCTATCTGAGCTTGATTTTTCTATGTTCATCTGATGGAAAATTTCTGATGTTTTCTCGGTCCCATGAGTTAATTATCATTCTTTAATTTTCAAATGTATAAAAAAAAAAAAATTTGATGGTTTTCAATAATTGACAAGCATTTTGGTTTTAGGTTTAGGTTTAAAGGTTGTGGTGATCATTTAGACTTATCGGAAATATTCAAGGGTTTAGTCCTTCGTTTCTGTTCATTTCTTTTATTTTGTTGATTTTCTTCATGAACAGGTAAAAACTTCATTGACTATGGGCAGATAACATTATACATTATGGGTTGGCTTAACAAATTTTTTAAAGGCTCCAGCCACAGAATTTCGGAAGGGCATTATCGTGGTAATCATGGAGAGGAGCCAAATTCCTATGCACCTTCAACTTCAGGGGTAAGTACATACATTCCTTCTTTTACATCTCATACTTATAATCTTTCAGATGGGATTTAATTGTCCTTTCATTGTGCTTATGTATGCTTCTTGCATCTAGTAATATCTCTTTACTGCTTCGGCTAGTTAGATACTTAGATGTCTGATATGTTCTTACTCAACATATAACTTTTCGGGAATCTCAAATTTAGGATGTGTGGTCCGAGCAAGAGAATGAAGATATAGATCGTGCCATTGCACTATCCCTCGTAGAAGAAAGTCAAAAAGGAGAAACGGTGATCGGTGAGTATATGGGCATTACATGTTATTATAAGTGCTCTCGTCTGTTATAAGGATGTACATTTTCTCTTTTCTCTGGATCCTGTGACTGGAAATAACTGAGGAAGAACTTCCAGTTGTATTAAGAAATTAAAAGGCCCAATCACTGCATTCCATCTGTTTCTGGTGACAATATGTTGAACTCAGTCTGTGCCATGCATCACCGCTTCATCAAATTTGTTGAGCAATCATAGTCTATGGGAATATAATTTATTTGCATTTTCTTCATTCCTATTTTGGAAATTACTTTTATGGGTTGTTAGTTTGCCAAACATTGGATGTATATAATATGGCCAGCATATTGGCATTAGGCAACTATGTTGAGTAATTTCTATATTTTTACAATTGAATGTGCTACAGTTTAATTTATTAATTTTTTTACAATACTTTGAATAGACAGGGGATCTCAATTGGAAGAGGATGAACAACTTGCAAGAGCTATACAAGAAAGCTTGAACTTTGAATCTCCTCCTAGGTATGGAAATGGACATCCGTATCTCCCCATGCCACTCCAATTTCCAACAGGGTACAGGTATGTTTGAGTTATGTGATCAATTACATTAGCTCATTCTAATACCAGTAAATCTGATGCACCTTGGTTTTGCACTTATGGATGAGTGATTTTAGAAAGGGTCCTAATTGCTGATAGGCTTTGTATTTTGGGGAAAAAATAAGTAAACGATTCTTTGCATGAGTGTGCCAGTTATGAAACTTGAACCCGGGATTTAGATTTTGAAAAATTTGATCCAAAACCCTTCTAGGTGAAAAGGATGTTTGTGAGGGATAATGTGGTTGCTTTTTTTGGCCTCAACTGTTCCTGACTTGGTACTGTCTGCTGTTGTATCCTAAATTTCCTGTGGAGCTCCACTCCTTTCCTATTCACTGCTATCTCCTTCAGACACTTATGCGAGAAAAATGATTAAAGAATATCTTTCTTGGGTAGGATCTGTGCTGGTTGCAATGCTGAGATTGGTCAAGGACGATTTCTGAATTGCCTTAATGCATATTGGCATCCAGAATGTTTCCGTTGCCATGCTTGTCAGCTACCAATTTCTGATATTGAGGTGAAAAGTTTAGCCTTAATTGTATCCTAAAGTACTTGTTTTCTGACTGATTATTGTTTTTCTATTTATGTTTTTTTGGTAGGTTTCTTATAGTATGTGATGTATGGTGTCTAATGTTTCTTTTGTTCATTTTCCTGTAGTTTTCTATGTCTGGGAATTACCCTTATCATAAATTTTGCTACAAGGAGCAGTACCATCCAAAATGTGATGTTTGCAAGCATTTTGTAAGTTTGTCTCATTACGAAGAAAATATTCTGTTTATTATTATTTTGTTTTAAGTTGTTTGTCCTTCTAATATCTTAGAAATGGCCAATGGAAGAACAGATTGCAGATATATGTGAAGATCCCTACTAGCAA